CATTTTTGAGGGCAAATGAGACATTTTTGAGGGGAAAGAGCTGGGTTTTGAGGAATGCAGTTTTTGCTTCTGGCCCAACCGGATCTGATTAGCGATTCTGTGTTTAAAGAAACCTCCGCAATTGCCCAGTGGAATTCCCCGCCTGGTGCATCTGGGCTCCATCCCTTATCTCTTAGATAGGAGAAATTCCCGGATTTACGAATTCCGGGCTGGGGAGACAGAAACGGATCAAAGGCTGGGAATGGCTTTGGGAATGCCGAGAGACCCGAAGGAAAATCGGGAATATCTGGGGCAGAAGAGGCTCCCGAGGAGCGAATCCTTGATCCAACCGGGGGAGTTTTTGGGGTCGGCAATCCCCCGCAGGACGGGCCGGTTCTGCTCGCCGGGGTTTGGGGTTTTGGGGGTTTTTGGGGTTTTTTGGGGGGTTTTGGGGGGTTTTTGGGGGGTTTTTGGGTGATCGCTAGGGAGCACCTGCGGGCCGGGATGCCTGCGGGGTTTTGGGAGGGTTTTGGGAGGGTTTTGGGAGGGTTTTGGGAGGGTCCCCCGGGGCCGCTTTGTTTTTTCAGGCTGAGAGGCTGAGATGGATGAGAGCCCCGAGGATGTTTTCAGCACTTCATAAATCAGCCGCCAGCTGGGCGGCTTCACCGCGCAAACCTGCTCCAGTTCCTTCCCTGCCCTCCTTTCTATCCTTCCCTCCTTTATTTTAGCCTTCCCTCCTTTATTTTAGCCTTCCCTCCTTTATTTTATCCTGCCCTCCTTTTCAGCCTTCCCTCCTTTATTTTATCCTGCCCTCCTTTTTATCCTTCCCTCCTTTATTTTATCCTGCCCTCCTTTCTATCCTTCCCTCCTTTATTTTAGCCTTCCCTCCTTTTTATCCTTCCCTCCTTTTCAGCCTTCCCTCCTTTATTTTATCCTTCCCTCCTTTTCAGCCTTCCCTCCTTTATTTTATCCTGCCCTCCTTTTTATCCTTTCCTCCTTTATTTTATCCTGCCCTCCTTTATTTTATCCTGCCCTCCTTTATTTTATCCTGCCCTCCTTTTTATCCTTTCCTCCTTTATTTTATCCTTCCCTCCTTTTTATCCTTCCCTCCTTTATTTTATCCTTCCCTCCTTTTTAGCCTTCCCTCCTGTTTTTATTCTTTCCTCCTTATTTATCCTTCCCTCCTTTTTATCCTTTCCTTCTTTTTTATCCTTTCCTCCTTTTTTTATTCTTTCCTCCTTTTTTAGCCTTCCCTCCTTTTTTATCCTTCCCTCCTTTTTATCCTTTCCTCCTTTTTCTATCCTTTCCTTCTTTTTTTATCCTTTCCTCCTAGTTTTATTCTTTTTTTCCTTTCCTCCTATTTTTCATTCCTCCTTTTTTCATTCCTCCTTTTTTTTCCTTTCCTCCTTTTTTGATTCCTCCTTTTTCTGTTTCCTCCTTTTCTATTTCTGCCTTTGTTTCTTTCCTCCTTTTTCATTCCTCCTTTTTCCCCTCCTTTTTTCATTCCTACTTTTTCCCTTCCTCCTTGTTTTATTCCTCTTTCTTTTTCCTCCTTTTTCATTCCTCCTGTTTTTATTTCCTCCTGTTTTTCTTTCCTCCTTTTTTTTCTTTCTTCCTTGTGCTGGAACTCCAGTTCCTGATGGAAAAAAAAAAAAACAGGCTTTAGATCCTAAATAGAATAAAACAAGGTCTGGACCAAAAAGCCCAAAACACGCTCTGGGTTTGTTCCTGGGTGGATAAACCTGCTGCAAATTTGGGGCAAAATGTGCATTTTTTGGGGCGTCCTTCCTGTGGGATCTGTTTTTCCAGAGGAAAATTAAAATTTTCCAGATAAAAATGGTGTCAGAGAAGGAAGAGGCAGTGGAGTCTTCAAGTTTGTGGATGCTTTTTATTACTTGGAAAAAAAGGGAAAAAAGTGGGAAAAGGGGGG